TAGCATTTGACAGATCTGTTCACTCATAATTACGTACTTACACTTGGCCTTTGCCCCTGTACATTTTGTACAACCTAGACCCAGCTAAATTTGCCTGAAGTTTTCCCTGTCGCAGTGCCTTCCAGCTGGCAGGGGAACCAACCCTTGGCTGCTCCCCTGGGCAGAATGCCTGCTGGGCACATTGCTGATGCCCTTTGGGAATGTCTTCTTCTGTCACCCAGCTTTTGGGACTACAGAGCACAAATACATTGGTTTGGGATGTCCCATTTAGAAATATTATTAAATTTTAATGCACATGCCACCAGCTTTTGCCTGAGGAATGTACAGAAGTTTATAGTACATAAGGCACTAGGACAGGAGTTCAGATAGGCTTCAGTCATAATTACAAGCAACTTAGCCATTTGGCTTTCTATTTCCTAGGATTTATTCTGCTGTTCTGATAAGCTATGATTTAAAACACACTGAAGTGCCAGTGCAGGCTAACAGCCCCTTTTCCTACACTGAAACACATCACAGAGAGAAGACACTGTGCTTTGTATCTGTCTCCCAGCATGAGGGAGAGGATTACTGAGAGGTATGGGGCTCTGCCTACAAAGACCACCTCACAGGCTGTCAGCTGAATTTGGAGTGGGAATCAGATCCAGAAAACAGATACCTGAATTTAGGTGTCTAGTCTCCCACACTAGGCAGTGGAGATTTAGTTATGGCAGTCAATGGAGCTGGAAGTGTGATTCGTCTGAGGAAATGTAGGCATCCATCCTCTGTTAAACTGAATCCCTCCTGGCAGTGGGAGGTGGGACGCTGAGCTCATCGGGTGTCGACACCTCTGAGTACACAGCTACAGCCTGGAAGCCCATCCCTGGTAAGGATGCGCTGATGACAGGGATTCAGTTTCCAGTTGCTGCATTGTTTCTGCAGTTTAATGAGAGGGGTGGGCTGGACCGCCCCCCGCCTCCCCCCTCCCGGCAAAGGATGGAGCTGCAGAGCCTTCTGGAGAGCCAGAGAGTCTGAGCGTGTGTAGGCAAGCTTCATCCCCTCTGTGAGGAGTGGGTGAGCACATTACACCTTATTTAGGTAGTCAAAATGGCACTAAAGGCTGTACAATAAAGAAACAACATCTCTCTGTTAAAATTATTTTTACAACCTCTATTGTCGAGTTCAGACAAATAGACTTAACCAAGCCTTCTTAGGATATGAAACATTAGTATCTACCACTTATGTCTGAACCTATGTTTTAGATTTTATTTTCCAGAGTAATTTAAAATTATGCAAATGAGATGCCAAAGCAAGGCATTATGCAGATTTGTGAGGCAGACAGCAGAGTGTTAACCCTTGGTGCTGCAGCTTGCTGTGGAGGGAGTGCTGCTGCAGCACCTTTGTGAGAATTCTTTCCAGCCCTTATGCTCTTCAATTACAGCACTCCTGTGGCAGGCCTGAGGTGTGAGGTTCACCCCCTGCACACCCCCACTGCCAAGTGGATTTAGGTGGATGGAAGAGCTGTGTTTGCTGCATTGTTCACCTCACAGTCCTGCCCAGCACAAGCTGTACACAAATCTGGTCTGGACATCTCAGAAAAGACTAGTGTTGTAACTGTCATCCATGGTTTCATACGGGTTGTTTCCAGAATATTTGAAGTGACTGTCATGGGAGTAATATTAAATTGCTTTTCAAATGACAGCACTGCAGTAACTCTTTAAAAACAATTGACTCTGTCAGCTATAAGTCCTCTAGCTTGCTGGCCTGCTTGTATACACTAGACTTTCTGTAGAGGAAAGCTATTAAAAGAACTCCATGTTGTGCTAATTTGTGGATTCAATAGCTCATTATCCCACCCAGCTATAAAGGTGGTGGGAATCACTCTCAGTCAGGAACAGATGGGTTTTGATAGAAATCCAAGGTCTGATCTGCTCTGGAAGTTTGCCGTGGTCTCTGCAACTGATGCCAACAGCTGACATAGCCACATTGGTCCAAGCACTAGTGCTGAGCAACAAATCCAATGTTTTAAAGCAGTAAAGTTTGGCAAACGGCAAGAGCAGGCAAATCCCCAACATGCATGAGGAAGCAAGTGCAGCCAATCTCTAGTGGAGGTGCCTGATGATGGGTTAAAATAGTGGCAGCCAAGCTCAGGGAAAGAGGGAGAGAGTTCATATTGGGCAGTTTTGGAAGGCCTGGTTTGTGCCTCAGTCATACTCATGTGGGATGCCATGTCCTGTGAATATTGGATTTGTTCATCATCAGACAGGGATGGATCCTGGTGAGGGCAGGAAGGAGTCTGGCTTCAGTATGGGAGGGCTTGAATCCACATTTCCTCCTGCACTCCAGTTCATAGAATCATACAATAGAATCATACAATCATAGTTATTCATGGCTCTCTATGAGAGAGCTTACAGAGCACTGCAGGTTTCAAGGAAAACACCAAGAATATGTATTTCTGTAGTGAATTGCTTCAGGAACAAACAGTGTCTCAGCCCTGCTCCAGGACACAGAAGTAATCTGGGTTTCTCTCTTGCACCCTCTTACACCCAAACCCTTTAAAGTTTTCTCCACTCACCAAATTGCTCCCTCACTTTCTTTCTAGTTAAAGGTGTCATTTCAAGCTGCCTGACAGAAGCTGCCTGTCTCAGCCAGCAATACTGAATAAACACTTCAATATGTTCAAACCTGGATGCTCTTGGTGAATAGGCTTAAAACCTATGGCCATTTTTAAACTGGATACACATGTGTGCACATAAAGGTTATCTCAGTTTAGCTACTTTGGTTTTGCTTGTCCTTAAGAGCATTTTTGGCTCAAAAATGTGATGTCTCTCACGGTACTTGGAAAGAGTTGTCCAGAGCACATGATCAGCATCTGTTGGTTTTGATATGCCAGAGGAGCTATGTAAAAGATGCAGAGATCAGAGAATACATTGCTGCTGCTGTGTATATTTGTTTTTAAATTTGGATTTTCTGTTTTGAATTGGGAGGTTTTCTATTGTTCAGCAATTTAAGCAATGGGCTGATGGTCTAGTTAATAAAAAATAAAAAAAAAGCATGAAACCCACTTACATTGGTTCAGGTTTTGTTAGTTTTGGAGGAATATGAAGATAGAAAGCTGAAAAGGATATAAATCAGACACTGCTGCTGTACTGCCAATGCCTGGCCAGCTTAAAAGAACTAAACTAGTTTAAATAGGCAGAAACACTGTTTTATGATGGCAAACAACATAACTGAGCAGCAAGACCATGGAAAGAAGTTGCTATGAAACCTCTACAGTGCTCTGGATAAGTTCTGCAGTGCAGGCACCTATAAAGAGAGTTGTCACCACCTGCCAGCCTGGGCATTTCCTAAAAACAGGGGTGTAAAATTGTAATACACCTTGATTTCTATAAATGCAGCACCAGGAAATGCCTTACAGCTCATTTTAAGTCAGTGCAGCTTCAGGGAACTGATGGTTTCCCAGAACCATCTCTGAAGACAGCACTAAAGTCTTGTCCACAGTAACACTGAAGCCCTGACTTCTGTGTCCAGACAAGGTCTGCCCAGACTGCTGTCATCTTAATTAGGTTCTTAGCAAAGACCTTTGCTTCTGTGAGCTCTAACTTTGCCCATGCTGAGATTTCAATCAGGTAAACTGTCAATTCTGCAGGCACAGCCACAGAGTCTTTACTTTTGCACTGACCTGCATGGTGGCTTTGCCAGCAGAGATTTCCTACAGGCTCAGGTGGGTTCTCTGCATGGGCATGCTTCAGAAAACTGCATCAATCAAAAATGTTACAACTGCAGGTCCACAGTGTCAGTGTGCACATGTTAAAACCTCAATTTCAGTACCAAGTAGTTGTAATTATAATGGTATCTTAATGATGGTATCTTAATCCTTTTAACACTTAATTTCTTTTGTATGGCTACTTCATAGTTTAACCATTTAAGTCAATTTTTATGAGGAAATCAGTAGGCAAAAGATCATCATGAAGTCATCTGTCCATGC